GTACTTGTTTTGAATAACCGTAACAAAAAAATACGTTTCAATTCAGCAAAATCACAGTCTGTAACATGTTTAGGTTCCACCTTAATCTTGTTTGAAATGACTCCTTAAAAATGGACAAGTACCCTTGAGAGTAACGAGTTTGGAAAAACACAAGTGATATTGAGTTGAGTAGCCAGTTGAATGATATCATCGTTTGGTTTACCAAGACATTAAACAAAGCTGCAAGTAGTAGAAGTCAAAGAAAAGTTGTCCTTTTCGAAGCTCAAGCCTTTACGAAACCTTGAGACAAAGACACCCAAAAAACACAAGAAAAGAACCTTTGAAAACTTTTTGTTTACCTGTTGAAGCATAACCATACTTGAAGGATTGGAGTACAGTTTTATCCATAGCCAAGAACTGTGTTCTAGTCGTCAACGACAAGGGCTCGTTAATGTCTGTACGAAAGAAAGTGAAGCAACTACAGCCTTGGAGATAGGTTTGGTTTTACTAGATTGTCTTCAAGTGATACTTACAAAAGTATGTTCCACTCTCCAAACACTGCCCCTACATCGGGACAATATTCCCCTACTATTCCCCCAAATTATCCATACAATAAGCGTATTGTACCCCTACGTTTGTGAGATTTTTAACACTCCTTTGAACAAGTCTCCACGAATTCACCTTTACATATTCCTTAACAACTTGATATCTCCTTTTCTAAACTCAAATATCAATTCATGATGTTGGTTGACTATTCTCAAGTACCAGATCCAAGAAATCACTTGCAACAAAAAAAAGTGAATTCGCTTTATGAAGCCTTTTCTTCTTTGCAACTATGTCATGGAAAATTCTTTACGATCAAATACAATAGAAGCTTCAATAACGTCTTTACATACCNACTCTCTGCAAACTTGTCAATCTTTGTTGGTCGCTTTTTGGACGAGACAACAAGACTTGGCATTGGTTTCTCAGTAGGCTGCTATTTCTGTAGAATTCCCTACCTTGATTCTTACCCATCATCAAGTTGGAAACAGTTTTTTCCCATGTTTACCCAAAACCTTGATGACATTGCTTGCCCATTCTCTCCTATAGCTTGAGAGAGTGTTGTCATCTATATCAGAGACTCGTTACCAATTGGTTGTGTCGAGTCTGTTGAACGCAATACAGCTGGTTGAACATAGTGTTGCAGCTTTTTTATCCTTTTTTGGGAACTGATTGTTTCCTTGTAAAACCAATCAATCTTTCTGTCCCTTTTTTGGGGAATAGATGAAATTTTTTTTGGTTTCCTTTTCTGGTTCCCAAGGTTATATCAACACTCCACAGAAATGGATAAACACCTCAAGTTGTTTTGTAAAGATATTTTGTGATTCACTCAGTTTTTTGAAAACACAGAGACCAACATTCAAGACGTTGCAAAAAGATGCCGCGTAAAGCCAAAAACAACTTGTACATTTATTACCGATAACAATGAAGAGATTATCCTCAAAGGTCTAGCAGTAATCAAGGAGACTTATTCGTTGCATAATACCCAACCTAATGTTTTAGCTATTATCCCAGCTTTTCAAGAAGAGACGCAAACCAGGTTGGACGTTGTACAAAAAACATTGATGGATCACCAAGAAACCGACTCTTTCAAATGACAAAGACTCCTCCTCGACGACTCTTTCTCCAAGCCCATCTGTTTATTCTGTATCGTCACATTTATTTATTTCTACCATTTGACTTTACACACTTTTATAAATGTGTCTCGACGTGCTTTGAACAATCTGTCCAAGAACCTATCGACTAGTTTTGGAGCGACTCTGTTGCATCTTGTTTGAAAGCACAAGTCTTGGAATGTAGGTTCTATTAGGTACTACTTTGCCTTTTAAAAGTCAAGGAATGGTTAAAAAAAAGATCCTCTTCATGCCGTAGCAATGCTGTTTGAGTTTTATGAAGAGGTATACACGTTAAACGAATATGTATGTTGGAGTCAATCGAAGAAGATAAGGTAGTTACATTACAGGTGAGACCCAGAAAAATTTCCAGGAATTGTTCAACATTTCTTCCAATCGATTTACAGTTACTGACATCATAGACTTGAAAACACAAGCGAGAGTGCCATTGAAATTGTTGAAAACTATCTCCAATAGTTTCTGTCAAACAATAAATGGAAAAATTTGCTGCATATTCTGGTTCTATTTATTGTTTACTACTATCTGGTTTAACGTACTATCCACATCAATAGACGTTGGGTTGCTGAAAGATATCGCCGTTGGAAGGGATCTCACCACCATAGGTCTATAAGAAACTTTTTGAAAAGTTCAAAAGAAAAACTAGAAAAGAACGTCTGTGTTTGCTTCGTTGAGAGAAGAATATACAAGCCTGCTGCAGCGTATGTTGTATTTACAAAGCTCAATTTTGTCGCTCGAATATGAAATGGATTGGAAAAAGGCTATAGAGAAATGATAGTGTTGGATTGTAGGCTCAAGACTATGGAAGAAATGAAACCTGAGAGTATGTGTTGACTCTTACAAGCAGATAAAGCATTTTGAGTTTTAAAAGACGGGAAAACTCTGTGCAAAAATGAGCGAGTGAAACAAAATGTATAAAGCTATATATTTATGGGAAAGTGGAAAAGGTACAAAAAAATATGAACAACGTCATTCGAGTCAAAGTTGGTGTCGCACACTCTTTTCCACTTTTTAAAAGACTGTTCTTCAAGGAAGCTATTTTAAATGTAACAAGATATCGAGAGAGACGGTTGAAATGATCCATGAGAGGGTGATAGATAAAACTTTCATTTATTGAACGATTAGTTTTATTGTATGGAGTTTTCCAAAACAAGCTCAAGTGTTATTTTTCCATTTTCGCACCATTTTATGTATGGTTCTACACCTTTATGAACAGAAAAACACAAGGTGTCATTTTTTTTTGCAAATTTTCCTTTGATAAATGCCATCTCTTTCTTTCTCGAAAATTCAAATTTGAGCACAATTGTTTTCTGTTAAAATATGTTTGAAATACCTACTTGAAGGTACTTATTTGTATGCCTTAACAAAGAAAACGATTTTATAAACTTTGACAAAGTCAAGGTATACTTTTTCATGTCCTAGGAGATCCTCTGACACTGTTTCATAACTTTGTGTCCACTGTAAATTTCAGTCTCGTACAACTGCGAAATAGTTTAAACTTTGGAATATAAAAGGTAAAATGGTTTTTTGTTTCCGTGAAAAAATAAGAAAACCTTGCAAAAATTTGGAAAGGGTTTGATTGTCGAACAGTAGTCATTTTGAGGTATTGTATATTTGATATGGACTTTTTTCAACTGACTAACAGCCCTTTGGTAATTGGCAATAGGATAAGAAGCACCATAATAATTGTTTCGTTCAAAGTTGCCAACGATCTTACTTTACCTCACTCTGTATAAAAGGATTCCAATAAATATCTTTCAGTAGGCCTTTCATAAATGAAAACTACATAAAGTTACATCCCATCCATTTATTCATAAAGCTTTCTATTTACTACTCGCATATTCTTATTCGTTTGAGAATGGACTGGTCCGTACATTTCACGAATTCTTTGTTCACTGGCTTTTACTCAGCTGACCAGCATTGCCAATTGTCTATCAAATTTCGTTGTCTTTTTTTTTCCATAGAGACTCCAAAATTCGTTGTTTTAACTACCTTTCCGTTTGACTAAAAAATATTTAGAGTGTTTCAACAATTGCAAAGCTACTAGATATACATCCTATCTGTCATCATTGACTCAATTTTTGTTTCTTTTAAACTCAACAACGAGGTGTCAAGACTATATCGCTCTAAACACACACATAATATACATATATGTATATATATTAAAGCAATCAAGTACCATATGACCAAAAAGGAGAGAGAGCAGGTTTACTTTGTAGCTCTTTGAAACTATCCAAGGAAACCAAGGTATAAAGAAAAAGAGAAAGCAGTAGACTTGGCAGTCCATACTGAGAAGAAAAAAAAACATTTACCAAAGTGTGTACACTCAAGTTTATCAATTTTCTTCGACACCAAGGTCAGATGGAAACAGCTCTACGAACGAACGAACAAAACCTGGTCAACTTGCACTGGGAAGAGATTGTTCCAGATACCCAAGGAAATGACTTTGATGGTATGAAGCTAGTTGTTTCAAGAAGCACGAGCAATTCATATAAAAACGTGCAGTATATATAGATTGCCAGACACAAGACTAAAGAATTATAATACGCTAACAATTCGTTAACTCATTACTCTTTTCTTTTTTCAACAAGTAGAAAGAAAAAAGAGTATTTTTTATGATGATTGAGAAACGAACTGATAACTTGTTTTGTAGTATGGAAG